CTTCTCTCTCTCTCTCTCTCTCTCTCTCTCTCTCTCTCGCGCAGAAAGGACGCCATTGAAACCGTCGCCACCATGTCCTTCTCCGAAGACTTGTTACCGTCGCCGGACCGCCGTGGCCTCGGCACTCTTCTCCGGCACCGGAAACCATCTTCCTCTTCCACCGATCAAAACCCTCTGCTGATATCATCACCCCCTCCGCTTCCGATTAAGAAGAAGGCATTTTCTTCTGCAGCCTTCCGCAGCTTCAGTTGTTCCTCCTCCTCCGCTTCTCAGGCCTACGCGCCATCGTCCGCCGCCGCCGCTGTTCGCTCTTCGGCCGATTGGGAGGGGAAGCGTACACGGAGGAGGAGAACTGACCAGAAGAAGAAGGATAGGAGTTCGGCCGCTGCCGATGTGTGGTGTGCTCCAGGGATCTCTTTTGCAGGGGATGATTCTGTGGACTGCGTGGTCTCGCCCCGCGAGATGGTCGGGAGAGGTGGGAGGGTTGAGGTAGAGAGGGCTTTTAGACAGGTATGTCCATATGTTTGATTTCAGCGCGTTCTGATTCTTGAATTTGTTCTTCATCTTGATTTTCTTTCGGTAAAATAACTTTTCTACGGTCTGATCGTTATTAAACTCTGCTTATAAGAAAAGCTTTTATCGGAATGAGGAAGAAAAAGGTTATGTTAACAATGAATGGATGTGCAAGTTATCCGATCCATCCCATGAACTGTAGTTCTCAAGCTAAAAACTCTTTATACTTTCTTCAATCTTCTTCCTTCCTCCGTAATTGAACCTCAAAATCGCTCACAAGGCTTTTTATGAGTATACTGTTTTATATGATCATGCTTTTGCTTACCGCTGGGATTACTTCCACCTTTTTCATAATTATTCTTTCCCTGTCCAAGAAAAAAAAAATCTCTGCAATGCTCCGATCAAAGCCTAACATGTGAATCTCATGTGGCTTGGAGTGATGGTGCTTAAATCTGGCATCGCTTGCGCCGATCAAATCCTAACATGTGAATCTCATGTGGCTTGGAGTTGCTGGATTTTAATTTGAAAAATTAACAGGTGTTGATGATGAAGCTACGGACAATTAATGGAAGAATTATACACAATTATGTGTAGATTGTGCAATCGTCCTGACAAAATAGTTTCTTCGTACTGATTAGGGCGAAAGTGTTTTGGGGATTCAGCTTTCTTAAATTTTTTTTTTATGATCCGATTTCAGACTTGAACAATAATTCTCTTAATTTTTTTATCAGAATTAACTGGCAACTATTTTAGCTTTTTATCTTACATAAATTTAAGTTAATTTATTTTTGAAGTGAATTGGATTAGCATTCTCATCAGGGTTGTTTGGCTGGGACTTGATTTAACATTAAGCGGGATTATCAAATGCGACGAGCAACGGCAATCGACAACGAGCAAAGGCCATTGACGACGATCGACGGCGATTGAAGACAAGCCAGACCTCTCTTAGTTGGAGTTAATAAATAGTTTATTTAACGGAACACTATTAATATCCATGGAGCACAAAAATTACTAATCTAACGGAGCGTGGATTCAATTTCTATCTTTTATGTTTGGGATTTAGGTTAATCACCACTAAATCCGGTAAATAGTATGCTACCAAACAAGAGATAAACTTCTTTCTAGAATAAAATTCTTTAAGGAAGATTAAATAGGATTTAGTAAAACCGGTAAGTCTGGATTTACTAAATCTAAATATCATTAAATCCGAAATAATGTTTCATTCAATTAAGATTAAATCCACTTAAATTCATTTGAGGTGTCTGACATAAATCTATTTGAAATATTTTTTTCCTTCGCCAAATCCGCTAAATCTAACTAATAAGTAGATTTAGTAAATCCAGATTTAATTAACAGACCAATTAAAAA